ACTGGGTGTTGTCTACCCCAGCGCTGATGCTTGATGGTCAAGAATTAGCTGTAGTGGGATGTTTCTCCTGCTTAGGTAGCTGCGTTTCAAATGACGGTAGCATAGTCAATGAAGTAATCGCCCGCACTTCCAAGGCTCGAGCAGCTTACGCAGGATTGAAATACCTTTAGTGCAGACGCGATGTTTTGTTGAAACTGAAAGGTCACGTATACTACGCCAGTGTGCGGTTAGTCCTGCGCTATGATTGCAAGAACCTAAATTTACCTGTGGAAGATATTCGTCGTCTATGAAGTATTCGAATGCAGATGTTTACGTAGTTTGGCTCGGGTTGGATGTAGCGAGCTTGTAAGCAACTTGGAGGTGAGAAGTCGCGTATTTGGTAATGATTCGATAGAGAATTAGTTGTCCCATCGAATTCAGATTAGTCGGCTTCGCTGGTTCGGACACGTATTGCTCATGTCCAGCCATCGTCTGCCGCACCGCGCCTTATTCGCAGTTACGGCTCCAGGTTGGAAGAAACCGCGTGGAGGTCAACAGACGACGTGGAAGCGAGGCATGAAGAAATGCACAGAGCGATTAGGTAGAATCGATGTCTCCCATCTTCCAGGTTGGGATCCGAAAGACTGCAACTGGCTGACTGGTAGGAGGCTCTGAAGGATATGGCGACTAACCGACAATATTTCTTATCAGGTCAGAATACTTGAAAAGGTGTGTACGCACACTTAGATTGTGTAATCTGTGTTATTTTTCCTTGCCTCCTTCCAATTGAGCCCGATCCCTCTCCATCTTGTGGTTTATCACTTGATTTGAATATCCCTTTAGTCGTCATCGCAAAAAGAAAGTCATCCAGAGAAATACAGAAAGCAAAGACAAGGACTGTTGCTCAAACCAAGTTTCACAATACACGCAAATAAGCGTTTGAAACCAATATTAGATTGACATTTCCGGTCTGGAGGAAGTGGTCGAGTGGTTATGCTTCACGAGGAAGATTGAGATGACAGTAACATTTCAGAGGGCTACTTGCTCCAGTGGCAAGATTCAGCTCAGCAACCACCTTCCAATCAAGTTTTAATCCCATTCTACAAAGTCATTTCAACTGATCACTGGTTACTCAAACCAATGCATGAAGAAATGTTCTTTTCGGGAAAAAAGAACGTAATGTGAACCATTCCAATCGGGTTGTACATGCTAGTGCAGTCAGATATACACGAGTAAAAATGACTCATCAATCTAAAAGCATGAATAAACTGAACACGGTCCCTGCAGTCACAATTATCTGGATTTGTTTATCTTTATACCGAGATGATCCCTATGTCTGGAATGGTTTCATTACCAGTCGGAATGACGAGTTGCCATCATATTAAGTACCCTCATTTACGACTGTCTCGGTAATCGAATTACACTGATTCCATGGTACACAGCGATCGGTAGGAGATTATCAACAGAAAAATGCACATGACGTGGCAGCATGTCGAAAATGGAATGCGTTAGAGTACAGAAATAGGAAAGGAAGAGAGAGATGGCTCAATTTATTTCTCTTAGAGTGCATATCCGATCAGAATAAAAGTTCCAACCACAAGGTTATAACATAAAGGAGAAAAAATACAATCGGGGATGGAAGAGTGAGTTGAACTGTGCACGGACGGGCTCACAGACAACGCAAGAAGAGGAGTATTCCGGCGGGGAGGGGGGAATGACTAACCTAGTTCATCCGCCTCATCGTAAGTGCAAACAAACCTATACAACTAACTGAAGTATGTTTCGAACCTCAAAGAGTTGTATCGTCATACCACAGGTCATTTTAGGGCCTATGGTCAACTTTTGTCACATTCCGCCGTCTGAAGTGAAGTTCGGAAAGGCGACCCTATATCCCCATTCCTTTTCAACTTTGTCACAGAGGATGTTCTACAGAATGCTTTGTCCGGTCTAGCAAACCGTGGAGTCGAACTCCTCCCAGGGAACAGAGTTGACTTGGAATATGCCGATGACATCGCCTCGCTGGGTGACAACACACAGTCAGTTCAAAACGCTTTGAACCGTTTGGCGATTGACGTATCTAGGTATGGTATGTGCTTTGCATCTTCCAACTGCAAAGTGTTTGTTCAAGAGCAGGAGCCTGTGTTTGCGCTAACCCTTTGTGGTGATCAGCTGGAAGTAGTTGACAGCTTTAAGTACGGCGGGAGCTGATCGAGCAGCTGGTGTTGGGGAGGAGATCACACCACGAATAGTGAAAGCTAGAGCAGCTTCCGCCAATCTGTGACACCTGTGGCGCCGCCATGATATCCGACTATCCCTTAAGGGAAGGGTGTACATCACCGCGGTTCGTAACGGTTGCGAGACCTGCCCCCCCCCCCTCCCGTGTTGAGGATGCTAATCGAATTTTTGTATTTGACCACCGGTGTCTCCGAAGCATTGCTCGCGTCTGGTGGGAACACCGGGTGAGTAATGACGAGGTTCGTCTGTGTTTTGCCTACACACCGACTACATGTCCGTGCTCTCTTTGCACGTGCCGGGCAAGGCTGGAAGGAGCGCCGCGGCGGTCAAACCATAACATGGCGTGGAGGTATAAAGAAGCTTCGGTTTTGACTTCGGTTGGTGCAGCCCGCCTCCCAGGTTGGGGCCCATGGGATGAGGATTGTCGTTGGTTAGAGATGCTGAGAGATATGCCCCCGAAATAGAGGTCAGTGGCTCGAATGCTGTACGGTCTGTCTGTCGAACCCCCTTGCCCCGTAAAAAAAAATATCAAAAGATGTACGGTGAAACACAAAAAGATCTTGTTATCCCAGTTTCCTATTTTTTTTCAATTTAACTGTTTCATCTTCTTCCCACTTTGCTCTGTATTTCAACATACTTGTCCCATGTTGTTGTTGTTGCGTTGGTACCACGCTTGTTTACAAGCCGGTGTAATATATATATATATATATATATGTATATTTCAATGGTTTATTATGGGAATAACTTACAAGCTCATGCTTTTCTGGTTCCATAGGTTCGTGCGGTGGAGTAAGAGACAGTGATACATACAATTCTTTGTGTAAAATGTCACGTGATATGTGCGTTTTCCACTGCTTCACGCAGCTTCAGTTATGTTGGAATGTAAAGTGTGCTAATGTTTCATCGAGCCTCAGTTTGAAAGACTCAATGCTTGGAGCACAGACGACGTAGGATGGTAGAGAGTTGCAGATCGAACACACTCTGACTGCGAATGACTGACGCCGGCATTCCAAGCGGCATTTTGAGACCACTAGTTNACGTTGGGTGATAATTTCAGAAGCGGGCGAGACGGATGGCTTGGGTTTTGCATTACTTGGTATGCCATAACTATATCTCCTCTGATGCGCCGGTAATGATTGGAATATAATCCCAGTGACT